GGTTTCGTAGGTGTCTAAAAGCTTCCAAATGCGTCGAAACGCTTAAATAAACGGTTGTTAAAATCTACGAAACCTTAAAAGGATCGGGTATCGGGCACAACTACCGAATCATCTCCTACGAAACCTTTTTTAAGTTCCGTACAGCAAAAAAAGGTTTTGTATTTTCTTACGAAACCTTTGTAGTTTCTTACTAAACTCTATGGTTTCGCACTATGGTTTTAGACGAAACCATAAGGTTTACTAGGAAGCTACAAAGATTTCGTAAGAAAATACGAAACCTTTTTTACTGTACGGAACTTAAAAAAGGTTTCGTAGGAGATGGTTCGGTAGCTGTGCCCGATACCCGATCCTGTTAAGGTTTCGTAGATTTTAACAACCGTTTATTTAAGCGTTTCGACGCATTTGGAAGCTTTTAGACACCTACGAAACCGTTTTGGAGGGTTCGGTAGAAACCCTTTTTTTTTACAGTGTGTGGTGCCATCTCATGTTTCAAGATGACTACCCATGTAAAAAAAAATTATTAATAATCAGATTAACAATCGCTTAAAAAGAGACAATTTTAATCTGATTTTTATCAGATTTTTCCGTCTTACAAGACAGATTTTATTTGACTTAATCTTTTTTAATCGATTAAAATCGATTAAAAAACTTTAATAATCAATTATAATCGATTTATTTCAGTAATCGATTTTAATCGATTAAAATCAGACTAAGTCAAATAAAATCTGTCTTTTAAGGCTGAAAAATCTGATTATAATCGTCTCATTTTAATCGATTTTCAATCTGATTTTTTTTTACACGGGTACTAGAGAAATCAATATCATATCGCAGCCAGGCCACTAACTTTGGCCTGGCCTGTCCTGGTAACCAGGCCGAATATTAGATGGACGGATCAGGTCAGGCCAAAATTTTAAAATTCAGCCTGGCCAGGTGGCCTGGCCTGGCAGGCCACCAGGCGCCTGCCAGGCAGCAGGCCAGGCCGGCAGCTCTGATACCCACATACCACATCCTTCAAGAATATTTACCAACATTTTTAATCTTGATCAATGTTGAGAAATATTCGTGCAGAATAGACTTGCATATTTCATTGACTCAAACATCTCTAAAAGATCCGTGAAAAAAAAATCTTATGATTACTAATGTTCCTTTGATTATTGTTTAGCCATATAGAAGTTGCTGATCAAATAGATGTAATTAATCGATCGACAGACAATGACTTTAATCATTGTACACTCAATAGATTGAAAATGTTAAACACGATACAGCTGTTATTTGCACTTTTAAAGATACACTTGCTAAGATGTTCATTACGGTCTGACCGAAGTGTAAATACTTTAACATTCCTTCTACATAGTGTTTCATCATAAAAGATTTCTCAAAAGTACTTTGACTCGTTTATAATTTGAAAATCAGTCTTCCTACTTGAGCAATATTGGTCAGTTGTATCTAATATTTTGATAGATTCATGGTAAAATTGAAAAGCAAAGTCAATTATAAAAATGCTATGACTAAAAATTTTTGATTTAATAAATTAAAGTTTATTGAAATTATTGCTGGACATGAATTCAAACAATAAACTAATAATAAATGAGTATGAGAGAAAATATTCTAAAATGAATCAACTAAGAAGGTGAAACAGTTGAATAAAACATATATTCCTACAACAAATAATAATGAAAAACAATCAGAAAATATTTAATGTAAACAAAAAAAAAAGCATTTACAATGAGAAACAGAGCAGCAAGTGATAGTGCCTTCATTTTAAGATCAAGATCCATTGGAACTAAAATCGATAGATATACAAAGAGAAATTTTTAATTGTTATCAATAAATTTACTTTTAAGAAAATATGCATCGGCACTTGTAAATGTTTCTGTCAAAAAACCACGATGTCTTTTTTCAATAAATCCAACTTCTGTAATTCTATCTGTACCAATTAACTTTTAATAGAATAAAGACAGTTTGTAGAAAATTCAAATTCAAATTTTAAAATTATAACTTACTCTATATTTGTTTTCATAACGACAACTCAATCCTTCATCACACAATCCTAAAGGACCACGTACAGTGAAAATATGATTATCGTTGCTATCTTTGATGGCAAACATAGGTCGGCAATAACTTTTCCTAAAATAATAAATATTTAATGAAATCAATCTCATTTTTTTTTATCGAAAATTAATCTTACTCTTGAGATACATAACCAATGAATGTTCCAGGTGGTGATTCGACCATCATTTTTTCACTACAACATTCGACATTAGCAAACCAGCAACATCCTCCACCACATTTGGATTCACGTTTCATAAGAATAACAACCTAATTATCCCCGAGAAAATATTCTCATAAATTATATTCTCAATGATCTGTTCACCTGATTATTATTATCAATAATACGTAATGTAACACTTCGTCTTGGTCCAAAAGATAAACGTTGCAAAAGTGATGAAGCTTTTCAAAGGTAAAACAAAAGAAAGTTTTTAAAAATAATGTTAAATTTCTACTATTAATTTACTTTCTAAAGCTTGTAATATTCGTACATTATTACTATAAATATCAAATTTAGCTGAAGATGGAATGTCCAATATAACTTGAATAGTAGTTTACAAATAAAAGAAATTTCAAATTAAATGAATTATTTTATTATCTTAATTGAGTTACTTTCTCTGGCAGAATGACGTTGCTTAACATATAATGAATCAATCGTTCTTAAACAATTTAATTCTCTTGCAACATTGAATGTTATAGGTAATAATGGTGTTATTTGATCGTTATTTGATGTATTCATCTTCTCATCAGATTCGTTTACATTCATTTCTATGAATCTTCTTTTTGCATTAAGGATGAAATTATTTTGAATTAATGAAATATTCTATCTAAAAGGAAAAAAAATGAAAATTTTGAATTGTAATCTTTCATTTTCTCTTATGAAAAAACATACACTCTTAATTAACTTGGAATTATTTTTTCAACTGATTTTTATCGAAAATTTCATTGACTATCTTAATTAATTTTGGGAGGGGATGTACGATTTTCTTGAAAAATTTTGCGAAAAAATTTCTTGTACATTATCCAAATTTTCAAAAGAAAAATTGTCAACAAATTTTTCAAAATTTCTTGAAAATATTCGAAAGTGTGGATATGGATACCGATGATAGAAAGATGTCATATCTACATCATTTATTTAGAAAGATAACTCAAAATAAGTTGTGAAAAGTATTATGATTTTTTTTTTGTAACTTGTTCTATGTGTATTCTGCGTTTATTTGTTTTTGTTTAATACGAGGCAAATACGTTGAAAAAAACAACACGCATTTCTTTTCGTCTACAATGAAAACAATATATAATTTCTTTTTTTTGCGTGAGAGGCATCTATGTATGCCCCTTCGATGGCTTCACCTTTTAACCACGTGATATCTGCCATATTTGTACTGCTGTTGGTATCTTTCTCTACTCGATACTACTGTATTTTTTTTCTTCTTCTCTCTTTTCGCTCTTTCTTCATCCTTGATTTTTACTTTTTTCTTCTTTCTTTCTTTCTTTCTAATTGAATTCTTTTTTTGTTCCCCACATATGTATTCTGGCTATGAGCCAATTAAGAAAAAAATGTTCGCAATTTGGAACACAGAAAATAACGTTGATCTTATTTTTATTGCGTTTCCAAATTGCGAACACTTTGATTAATTAGTAATTGTAATAGCTGATTTTGAGTTCAATTTTATTAATAACATAAATATAGAAGTTTGAGAATAAGAATGGTATCATAATTCCAAGTATGGTTACAAATTTTACTTGGTCAACAACTGTAAGTGGTGAGAAGGCTATCTTATATAATAATCATTTATATTGGTTGAAACGTGAAAACGAGAACGGTTCATTTATGTATATATGTATTTTCAAATCTTGTTCTCGTACTATAACTTTAAACGATAATACAATTATCAAATCAAATATATATTCAAGATAAAGATTTTCATGCTTATCAAAAAGCTTTAAGATCTATTCCTCATCATTATATAGATCTTATGCAAGATGCCGAAGATAGTAGTGATAAGAAATAGGTTTTTTATTATGCATTTCTATTGTTAATAAATTTTTTTTCTAATTAAACCTATATTGCGTAATTATTAAAAGTGTTTCGCAATTTGGCAGCTACGATGTATTCTAACGCGGAAGTGTGAATCTGATATACTGTGTTATATATTCACATCTTGAATGGTCGTTTCTATCAAACAGCTGTAAATGCTGATCATATTCATTGTAAGCACTCCCGAGTATCACAATAAAATCGAGCAAATTTAAAAAAAAATAATTTCTTTTTACACTCAATCAATATGAAGAGTATTCAAATAAAACACATGTCATGTACATACAAGTTTTTATATAATGCAAACAAATGTTTTTCACCTATAAAATAGAAAAAAAAATTATGACATAATAAATTACGACTAGTTCAAGGTAAATGAAATAGTTTATTTTTACTTTGACAAATCGCTCACAGTGACTTTCAAAAGAATTTAACAGAGTTTATTGTTATGTAAGGAATTTTATTTACAACAAGAATTTTTGACAATGAAAATGATTACGAGTCATGGTACAACTGCAGAATAATGACACCGCGGCACCCACACTCTTTGATGTGCCTCAGTCATGTAAACACATTAGTGTAGAGAGTGCTGTTCTTCTGCAGTTGAGCCCAAACCTGGACGAATTACATTAGGAGCCACTGTAAGTCTTCTTTTACCTTGAATTATTCTCTAGTTTATGGAGAACAGAAACAACGTAATAAATATTGGAAAAAAGAATGTTGAATTGTACAAAAAAGAATAGTACAAGGATTGATGCGCGAATATTTATTCTTAATAATAAAAATTGCAAAAACAACCGAAAAAAAATATTACTAAAGACAAACAAATACTTAGGACAATCCAAAAGTAGTGTCGTCAAGGTTTTATTTCCTTATAATAATTGAAAAAAATTCTCTTTTTTAATGAATAGATAGAGCGTCTTTCACTCTATCTTTCTATGCTATTTGATCGATCTTCACTCAATATTAGAATAAAAAAATCTCGGTAA